TGAAGAAATATCTTTCACATGTCATTTGTACATCTTTTCAAACAAAAAGAGCGCTGAACAAAAGTTCTGAGCCACGCCGTCTGAGCAACACTCAGGGGTTAATGGAAACCAGACAAAGGGAGGCAAAACAATTATTAAATTTCTACCGAACTTGTGTCTATCATAGTGTATCTTAAAGACTTCAAAGACCATAGACCAACCAAAGACCAACCAAAATCAAGCACTTCAATCTCACGCTAAGGGCTTACTTGTGCATCCTATAGGATATTTAAAAGTAGAATGGGAGGCAGAACTTTTCAGGCCCCTCTTCTGTGGAATCAGCTGCCAGTTTGGATTTGGGAGACATAATTCTCTTTAAGAAATTCTTTAACCAATGTCATTTCTTAATTAATTAATGTCTTAAGTTATCAGCTTTAATCCATTTTGGCTGTGGGGCATATGCAACAAGGGAAATATCTGAATACAGTTTGCTGACAGAATATTTCCTGTCAGTTATAACCACAGTAGTATTGAGTACCACAAGCATGGCCCAGTATGTTTAAGTAATCTGTTGTTTTCCTGGGACTGTGTTTGTGGCTATCTGGTTAGTATTTCTGCAAAACCTGAAAAAAGTATGTTAAAATAGCAATGTTTATGCAGACAGACATAAAGGGATGTAAAGATCTTTCTTTAAGAAATAACAGATCCAATATTTATTGAATATTATGCATATGTCATATTGCCCATTCCAAATATAATATTAAACTTTTTCCCATAGATGCTGTGTTTCATTATTGCTAGCAACCAATTAACTCTTGCAAGCCTAAAACAGAAATTAAATAATTCTGCCACTTTTAGGTTATGCACCCCTCTGATATTCAGTCAGTTAACAGATAACACCTGTAGTTCAGTCATATCAGTTCATTCTGTTTGTGTTCACTATTTCCCTCCTTGCTTCTGAGATGCCACAAACACACAGAGTTATAAAAAGGTAGGCAAGGCATACACATGAAAAGCACTAGCGAAATAATACATGCATAAGTACTTTTAATTTCTACCACTGCATTGTAGTTAAAATACAACGAAAAGATAGATAGTGTGGCTCTCATTTACTATCTAAGTAAAAAGAATAAAATATACATACAGATGGAAAACTTATGGTTAGAGAATCTTTTTCTATAGGATGAGTATTTTTAAGTGGGGGATTGTTTTTAATCAAATACAGCTAACAATGTTATAACCAGTCACACCAGAGCAGATCTCCATCACTGAGGAGGTTCATAGTGACAAACGATTTCTTGATTTTGAAAGCAAAGCAAAAAGCCTCTGTGTGTACTTGTTTCTTTGTAAATTGCCACAGTTTTCTGTTCAGCTTCATTTCACGAGTGCATCTTGTGGCTCTGTTTTATGCATTATTTGATGGACTTGATGTGAAGTTATGGGGAAGCTTTCTTCTCACACATCCAGTAGTGTAAAATAGAGCATTTTTCATCATTCCAGCTGTTTTGTGAGTTGTAATTTTTTATTTGCCCACAGTTTTCATTTTTGAGTCCATTAGGCTCACCGCTATTCCAGTAGCTGAAAATAAAGATAAAATAATGAGAGTTAAACTCAACAATCTGATCAGTTTTTTCTTTTCAGTAACTGTAACTTAGATACTAAAGAGACAGCATGAACAGTATCTTTTTACTTAAAATATATGCAAACTAAAGAATGGATTTTATTTGTATTTAAACCTTGTGGTCATTCGAGTCCCATCCACCCATTTCCATGTCCCGTCTGTCTCTGAGTCAGTCAGTCCAATCCACAAATACTTGTTTAACTGATTCACAAAGTTCTTTTTAAAAAAATAGAGAAACCAACTGTAAGGATACTGAGTTTAAACTGATGTATTTATATAGCCTCCACTTAACTGAACTTTGATTTCATTTTAATTTTAATTTATATATTTTTAATGCACTCCCACCTGTTCCTCTTGGCTGTTGATAATCACAAGGTCTGCACCTTTTTGAAGACAGTCTTGTCTGCTCTCTTGCCAGGATTTCTCCTCTGAAGACATGTAATAGAAACTACCGCTAACATACACCCATTTATGCTGAAAATCTAATATAAAAAAAAATAGAAGAAGAATGTTAACAATTTGGGGTTACATTGTACGAGGTAGCTTTCACATAACCGTAATGATGAGCTTTTTCACAGCCATTGCTTTGGAGTTAGTGACACAAATTCAAAACACTTTGGTGGTGAAAAAAACATTCTGTCATAGTTGCACAATTTGTCAGAATGTGTTACCTAAGACATAGTCCAAGTCAGTGTTCTCAGCACTTTGATTTTTAGATTTGTTTTCATGTTCATTAACAATGTGCACTTAATTACTCCAATTGTGCACAACGTTAATAGTAACTCTCAGGGCTGAGAAGATGAGAAAGATATAAGATCATATAAGAAAGCTATTTGAACTTTGGTGACTTCTAGTGAAGTTGTGTAAAATGTGATAAAGTGATTTCCGCTGTAATCTGCATCAGCAGCTGTAGGTAAAAAAGGCATT